CCTTGAAGACTAAGGTGCGCCTGACCCAAGCCATGGTATTTTCAATTGCATCATATACATGTGAAAGCTGGACAATGAATAAACAAGACCGAAGAAGAACTGACGCCTTTGAAATGTGTAGAAGAATCTTGAATATACCATGGATTGTCAAAAGAACAAACAAATCTGTCTTGGAAGAAGTATAACCAGAATGCTTCTTGGAAGCAAGGATGGCGAGACTATGTCTTACATACTTTGGACATGTTGTCACGAGGGATCGGTCCCTGGAGAAGGACATCATGCTTAGTAAAGTACGGGTCAGTGAAAAAGAGGAAGAACCTCAATGAGATGGACTGACACAGTGGCTGCAAGGATGGGCTCAAGCATAACATGGATTTTGAGCATGGCGCAGGACTCGGCAGTGTTTCATTCTGTAGTGCATACGGTTGCTATGAGTCAGAACCAACTGGGAGGCACCTAACAACAACAATAGTAAATTCACTGTCAATTTACTAATCACTGCTTTGTTAGTAAATCTGTCTCCCTCTGACTGTTTCTGGATCTTCTCATTGTCTTTGGTGATCTGCAGTTTCTTATTTATCTTGTTCAGGATTTGCAAAACTTTCTCTTGAGGATTTCTGACTTTTATCTATTTTGGAAAACTCTCAAGCCACCATCCCTTCAGATATTGCCCCTTCCCCAATCTCATTATTACTGCCTCTAGAAACCTAATTACAAGTGTTAGATCATATTACTCTGTCTTCCATGTCTCTTCCATATTTCTTTTATTTTGGTGAAATTCATATAACAAAATTAATCTTGTATATTTTTCTATCTTTTTTGTCTACTGAAATGGGGAACATACAGATACTAGGAACAAAATGTGCCCCATTTTGTTAATTTCTGCTGTTCTATCTTTCAGCTCACTGAACTCTTCTACTGTGTATACTCCATTTGACTATTCAGGCTATGAATTTTTATTTCATCAACTCTAGTTTTCATATCTAGAAATTCTATTTGGTTCTTTTTCAATTCTGCATAATTATTTTTAACAGTCTCCTGTTTTTTTTAACTCATGTTATCAATTGATTCTCATTTCCCTAAACATAAATATTTCAAACATAATTATTTTTATTCTGTATATGAATAACAAAATCCTAAGGGTCTAATTCTGCTGTTATTTGTTTCTGCTGATTTGTTTCCTCATGTGTTCTCTAATTTTTTATTGAATGCTCGTAAGTGTCTATACTTGTGGGAATTTTGAGGACTTTAGGTTGAAACTGTGTTCACCCATTAAATTTTACATATGCATCTGCCCGGTAACCTGGGAAACTAGTAATGAGAGGCCATTTTATTTCTTGGCTTGAGGCTTCTGAGACCACATAGGTGGTATATTTTAATCCCAATTCTTATGTGGGTACAAGTGTGGTTAAATACTCTCAGAGGAAATTTTTCTGTCCTCTTCACTACCATCTCATAAACAAGGCCAAGGCAGACAAGATACCCTAATATCTACCCATTCTTGACAGATTTTTTTTTTCAAGTCTTCCCATTTCACTGACTATATAGCCTTTCAAGAGTCCAAGGCATAAGCAGGGGTGTCAGTTTCAACTCTCTGCTTTGTCTCTTGTAACCTGTGTGAACATTAAGGTCTCCATGTAGCTCTAGCTCTAAGTTCCTAGTATCTATATAAGTGCTTGGGGAAATGAGGGCTTCAGAACTAGCTTATCACTCTGGATTGCTGCTTCCACCTATCTTTTTTTTTTTAATCTGAAGATTTCCTTGTGAAGTAAACTGCTCATTTAAAATGTCTGTCGTATTTGATCAAGCATTTTTTGGACTTATCTGTTTTTCATTTCGAGAGAGGCAAGGAGGGAAAACAGAAAAATCCATTTACTAATTTTACGTCTCCTGTGGTGTAGAAACACTAAGAAGCCTGGTATATTTTCTGAGTCATCCTTAATGTTATTATAGAAGAACACATGACCTTTAGTAACAGATTATGTAAATAAGATAAATAATATTCAAGATGAAGTAAAATTAGTCCTTTTGAAATTTAGCTAAAGCCGTATCTCTGCTGGTACGAATTGATGAATTTAGGGGCCAATTAAGAGGACAAAGGGATAAGTTTATGAACGTAAGCTAGTTTGAAAGAACTTCCAAACACAGAAATTCAAACTCATTTGCTTTTGGTATATACATATTGTTTATTTGTTTTGTAGCAATAGGTAGGAAGGAAAAGAAATAATACTTATTGAGCATCAATTATATTCACTGTGCAAGGAACTTCATTCGTGTTAATTCTTAGCCTTATGAGTCACCATACAGATTAGGAAATTGAGGCTCAAAAACAGAAACCGACCCAAAGATAACAAAAACAGTAAACTGTGGCGTCAAGTTAACCTGTGCTATTTCCATACTGCTAATTTAATTCCCTTGGAATAATGAATTACAAAACCCACTGAACTAAGTAGTAGTAGAATCTGGATGAACAAGCCAATTTATTCCTAATGTGGTTTCAAGGGTTAGCGGTCACTCAAAAGAGACAACTCCCATTCCTTCCATAGTAAAGGGTTAAAGAAAGTATTCCTGCTACTCTTTTTCTATGTCTAAAATTTTCAAAGGGTACTCTTACAAAAGAAGCTTAGGAAAGATAAGGAGAGGACATCCAACACCACCCAAGTTGTAAGGCCCCAGCTCAGAAGGTAAGGGGAAGAAACAGGTTGCAGTTTAAAAGTGGTCTCAAATAAGAACAGAGATTATTTATGTGAGGGTACAAGAAGTGGGAGGGTGCAAGGAGTAGGAGGGTACAAGGCAAAAGGGAGACAGGTTGGGAGGATGAACTTCCCGGTTTAATTTTCAGTTTTTTTTTTTTAATTTTTGAATCACGTGAATGTTCAAAACATTAAATTCTAAAAAACTAGTCTAAAAATCAACACTAACCAAGTGCACTAGCTAATCTTCTTATATAACTTTAAAACTAGATCAATAGAATAAGTGACTAATAAAAAATGAAAAGAGTAAAGTTTTTTCCCTTCCAAAATGAATTTTCTCCTCACACCATGAATTTTCTCTACAAAATAGGTCAAATTTTTAAGGTAAAACCATTATGTATTTGATTCTAAAACAGGACTGAAAATGAAGTAAAACCTTTACAGGGACTAAACTAGGGGACCAGTGAAAATGAGAAAAATACAGCAATTTATTAAAAAAGTGCACGTATGTCACACATCAAAGCCAATTTCAAGGCTGGTTTAGCACCACTTACCTTTAGAAAGAGTAGGTTTAACCGCCATTCTGCCAACCAGGCATTCTTTCAGCATGGATTCATAATTGACCCAACGATGAACCTGATATGCGAAATAAATGACAGAAAAGCAAAATGTATCTAATTCCGTAGGACATTCTAATTTTATTACAGGCAAAACTAAACATTATTAAACTGCTCTGAAAACCAGATTCCAACTCTCACTGACCCCATGTGTGTCAGAGTACTGTGCTTCACAGTGTTTCAATAGTTGATTTTAAGGAAATAGATTGCCAGGTTTTTCTTCTGAGCTACCTCTGGGTAGACTCAAACCTCCAACCTTTTGATTAGCAGCAGAACATTTTCACCATTTGCACCACCCAGGGAGATTCAATTAGACCACAAAGGAGTGACAGAAAGGCAGTATAGATAAACATTGTTTAGAACCGTGTTCTCAAACTGTCATTTGTGGAACTCTAGGGGTGTCCCTGACACCCTTTCAGGTGCCCATGGGGTCTAAAATAGTTTCATAATGATACTAAGGTACTGTTTGCCTTTTTCACTGTTTTTAGTTGCACTGATACAAAAGCACTGGTGGTTAAAACTGCTGGTGTCTTGGCACAAATCAAGGCAGTGGCACACGCCCTGTACTAGTAATCATTGTATTCTTCACCACTATGGACCCAAAGGGGTTAAAAAAAGCCAGTTTCACTTAAGAATATCCTTCATGAAGCAATGAAAATTATTTTCTTAAATCTCAACCCCTAGTACCTGTATTTTTTAATATTGTGTGTGACAAAGTGGGGAATTCTCAAAAACACTTCTGCTATAAAGTATGACAACGGTCCCCCTGAGACATAAACAACTGCTTGCTTTGAGAATTAAGCTAGGGGTGTTTTTCATGAAAGGCTATTTTTACATGAAAGAACGAGTGATAAACTATAGTTATTCAGACTTGGGTATTTGACAGACATAGTCTTGAAAATTAAGAGTGAATCTGTCACTTCAAATAAGACAACTGACAGTACTTGTTGCCATACACTACTGGCAGGAATTAAATTTAAACAAACTTTCTGGAGGACACTTTTTAAAAATACATTAAAAGCCTTAAAAGATACAGCTCTTTCACTCGGTAGTTTAGGGATTTATCTGAGAAAATATCACATATACATACACGAGGATGTAGGTACCAGGATACTCATCATAAAAAAAAAAAAAATCTGTTGTCATCGAGTCGATTCCAACTTATAGTGACCCTATAGGGCAGAGCAGAACTGCCCCATAGGGTTTCCAAGGAGCAGCTGGTGGATTCAAACTGCCGACCTTTTGGTTAGCAGCTGAGCTCTTAACCACTGTGCCACCAGGGCATCATAGCACTATTTATATTAGCAAAATACTAGAATCAACCCAAATGTTCAAGAGAAAAGGACCAGAAAAGGAAAATCACAATATATTATTCAATGGAATACAATAATGAAAAAAATCAGGTCAAAATAATATTATGTGGTATCAGAATCTTCATAGTATGTTCCTGAGTAAATAAATATACACAAAAATAGTAAATATGTAAAAAATACATATGTATATATAACAGGAACTCGTTTACTAATATAAATTGATATTTCGCTTACCACATATTTATGGAGTGTCCATTAATGTGTAAAGCACTATCTTTGGGGCAATGGGATTGGGTATAACTTAAACAGATAAATGAAGGAGTAAGATATTCAAGGAGGCAAAGATAAACAAAGTTTGCCAATCATGAGACTGGTGAAAAATGGCAGGCACTTCAGTTTGCTCAAAGCAAGAAGATGTATGTTCAGAATATCTGCCCTGATACAGCCTTTGCAGGGCTTCAAATGCCAGGCTGAAGAGTTTAAATTTATTCTACTGTCAATGGTGAGCCACTCAGAGTTACAGATCAAGGTGCTAAGATGAACGTACTTTAAGAAAACTAACCTAGCTGCCACGTGTTTTGCAAACTGGTACTGAAGGTAAAGCCATCAGGACAGATTTAAATACTGAGGCTAGAGAAGATGAGGATGACTTGGACCTAAGGCAGTGCGAATGGAGAAAAAGGGTCTAATGTTTGAAGACAGAATCCACACAACTCAGTCCCTGAGTGGATACTGGGGCACCAGTGAGAGAAGGCAAAGACTACTCAGTCATTTCAAGTCCACATTACCAGAAACAGGGAATACGGGGGGAAGGAGGAGGCAAGAGGATTGGCTGATATTATTTGAGGGCCCAGGGAGCTGAAGCTCCAACAGGTTATCAAATTGTCCATCAGGTGTTTGGAAATGCCAGACTGGAGGACAGGAGTGAAGTCTAAACAGGAGACACAGACATGACAATAAAAAGATTACTTAATATTCTTTGTACAACTCAAATACTAGGCATCAAGAAATCCTTAGATATTTAAGAATGCAAGAAGCTTCACTGTAGTTTCTAGAATATAAAGTTGTTTACTTCTGTGGTGAAAGTCATAAATAATTTAAACATCACTGGCCTTATTAAAGCCAAGGGGGAAGCAGCAGTCTGTCAACTAAAGTATTGCTTAAATCTCCAAAGAACTTAACAATATAGCAGTTTTTGTGATTTCCCCAAAACAACGAAATAAAAACTTTCCTAGATAAGATCCTTATAACCTCCTAACATTGAGGAATATAAATAAGACTAGATCTGACTAGAAATTCTTGTGGAACAGTACATTTAGCATCAGGAGGTTATGGGGCAGATAGAAAAGTACCACAAAGAAGTTCTTAGGCAAACTCTCTCAAATTTTTCTATTTGCCTTGAATTGCTAGATAGTAACAAATACCAAATGACAATGGAAACTTGTCTTAAAACAGCAAAAAGAATCTCCCACGGAGAGTGCTATTAAGACCAATGGGCAAACATGGCTCTTTTCCAACTCAGAAAGAATACTAACACATGGGATTTTGCCATGTAAGTGAAGAACATTTAAATATAATACAGATTACATTTCTGGCAACCTGGTCAAAAAATAGATCCTAAAATGGATGACAAGGTAGGAAGAACAGAAATCAGATTATATTTGGTCAGGACACAACTATAAAAATAACCAAATCTGATTCAAGTATCTCAAATGATGAAAGTATATTACTATAATACAGTTAACCATATGTGAGACAAAGGCAAATATCTATTCTTCTAAAGAATATTGTCTCAAAACAATAGTTTAACAAATTGATAGTAATTCGCATATTCTGTATGACATGTAAATAATTAAGAGCTACTGCTTGTTTTTAGTAAAAATTAGAAAAAATGTGACTAACAAATATCTTTTGAGACATCCATGCAGAATCTCTGCTATCACTCGCAGAAAAAAAACATTTTTCTAATTAGTAATCAGTCTCATCTAACTTTCTACATGGCATATGTTCAGAGCAGTAAGGTAGGCTGAGTATATAAAAATCTTCAAATGAGGAAAGACAAAGAGTGAAGAAGCTAAGTGACTTGTTAAAGTGATCCAGTAAGTTACAGATCCTACAGTTCTTTCCTCTAGTCTTCACTGTCTTCCGTAAGTCAATCATTACCATTATCAACATCAGTGAAAACCAAGTAAACACCTGACAGAAGAGGAGGCAGCAAATACTTAAGATTAGACTCCTAGACACAGGGTTAAAACTCTCTCTAAATTTTTAATCAAATAATTCAAAGGCAAGTTAAATGAACAGCTGCTACTTCTTTCTACTATGCAAAATTCTAGTCAATATATCTGAAGTTTATGCAACTATTTTCTTTCTTTCTACAAATGTCACATTGCTAAACCTAAGAGTATTCTCCCATTATAACACTTCCAGCATCTTACCTGATCAAAAAGGTCAGTGCCATCTGATCCTGCTGCTCTCATTAATTCATCTTCTCCACCAGGATGATACTCCATATATGGACTGACATTATAAACAAACCCTATATCAAAGCAAGAAGAAGTAATATCCTAAATCAACGTCTTAAAACTGTAAAAACTATGTAAGTTCCAAAAAATCTTTCCAAATACAATCTATTTAACAATCATTATTATTTTGAAGAATCAAGAACTGTAAAGGTTCTGAGATTTTACCACACTTGCAAGCTAACAAGTTAACCTGCCACAATTTCATTGTTACAGGCAGAAGACATGAGACTGCTAGGTCAAAGACAAGGAACAGTGTATTGCTTACAGCAATAGCAGTAGCTAGAACATCAGCATTTGCATCAGTTCCCTGAACCCCAACTTCCCCAGAGCTATGTGAAGAGGGTCTGGTAATACCAGTACACTGAATGGGCTGCACTGAAGGAGAGGAAGCCTGAGCTCAGGAAACCCAAATATTTTATAATTGGCAGCAAGCAAACCTGTCCTTTGTTCAGAAGGAAGAAACTATCTCTATCATCCAAGATTGGTTGTTATACAAACATCCTTGAAAATACAGTCCAGAAAAATGGCAGTCAGTGCTTCTGCTTGCAAAATGTAAAGAAATGTGAAAGACCCATAGAAAATTGCCTCCCAACACAAAGAAATGATGAAACACTGTGTATATAATTTTTAAAATATACACACACAGCACTCAGCAATAAATTTCCACTCAGTTATCCTCTACTGTTCTAGTAAGAGAATGTGATGGAAAAAAAAAAAAAATTGAGTTCACATGTATCTGTCTGACCATCTCAGCAAAGGCTGAGCAATGATGACTAGACCACTTAGGACTGCTTTGTGAAGAAAACCCAATTATTCTCTGCAGTTACCTAAGGAACATAGATTATTATTTAGATCTTAATAATACTTTTGCCTGCCAAAATATTTTTATTTCATCTATTCATAATTTTAAGTATACTTTATTTTTATCTTTTAAAAATGAGGAATAGGAAATGCCAAATACAACAGAATATCTCAATAGACAACATTCCCAAAGAAGTGAGTTGCTTTTTAATCTTTTACTTGAAAACTAGATAGTAGACAAATCTAGCCCTAAAAAACAGCTCAAGCATACAGTGAGAGTTCTTATACCCAGGACTCTCCGTTTTTCATATAACAACTTCCATGAATTTAGGTAACTTAAAATGTTCATTCTATTTCATAATGTTGGAGGGCAAGAAGACATTGAATGTCAGACCCATGAAGGGTACTGCAATCTCTCTACCAGTTTAACTTTAGAAAATAACCAAGCAGTATGAATTTCATTATAAACTCTCATAAAGGCAGGCACAAATGGAAGTTCACAGAATTTCTCTTATACCAGTATTCCAAACAAGTCTGAAAACACACACACACCCAAAAAAAACAAACAAAAAAACAAAACTGAATCCCCTCCTTTTGCCTACCCACCAAATTTAGAAGGAATTTTAATGCTTCAAAATTCACTGATCACAAATGTCAGAGGTACTGATTAGGATCGGAATTATTCCCGACAGACTTTTTAAGACAGAGGATAGCTTCTAAACAAACAGTCCCAAACTTTCTCTGCCATCAAGCTAGAGTTCTAGCGTTTAAGAACAGAAAATCTACAACACACTACCATACAACCTTCTATGATAGAATTTCTTATGTTCCAAAAAAATAGGCTGAAAGAAAAACACACAACTTGAACAGCTATCCTTGATCAATATTTAAAGCCTGGAACATACCAACTGTGTTCTTTGCTATCCCTTAGTCCTTTAGATTGGACATTATCCTCTCATAATCTTACCCTCCTTTACAATAAGACTAGGACCAGTCTGTGAATCTGAAGAACTTCCCATCCTCACTACACTCACCACAAGTAATTAAGATTGTTGATAGCTCCCCTGTCCAAGATAGGTTAGATCCAACCACACTTGGTGGTGTCAGTAATTTTTGAGTTATAGAATTTAAACCCAACCCCAAAAGGCATCTGGTGCATTTCCTCTGATCTTGAGACTCTTTCTTCCCTCTTTCTCTCCCTCCTATTACCTTCCTTCTCTCTCTTTCAAAAGCATTTCCTAAAATTTGGACCCCTGAACGCAGCAGAAGAAAAATTGAAAGATCTTGACTTTATACTTTTCTTTCATGCTTTATTATATCCCATTGTACTACATATGGCTTTTAGAAAGCTCATCTCACATGTGCAAAGTTCTAGCCTCCTATGAGTTCTTACCCCTAGAACTTTAGAAACTAAATTTGCAATCTTCCGAATTTTGCAGCAATACAATTTTATTAACTTCTTCCTACATCTCCAACTGCTCAGGTATGGCAGATATGAGCACCTGATTGCCCATTAAGTAGAAATAAATAATATTTATGAACAGACCTAATCTCAATTTGATGGTAGTCTATTAATACATTAAGAAGAAAAATGGGCAGGAATAGATTCATGGAGACACCAATCCTGAACCTGAATGGTGTAAAAACTGGGCTGTGACCAAGGTCCTCTTACAGCTTTTAGATCAATTACATGGATGACCTTCAGTGGCAGAGGGGGATTTAGGCTGGGGAGATATATATATATATATATATATGTCACAGTGAAACCTGTGAGAGCCGGAACTTGATGGCACTGCCTTGTTTTTCCAGGTCTCTCAAGTTTTCTGCCTTTGACAGAGCACAGTCTTACCACTTTTTCATTGCTCGTTTTAGTGGAAAACATTTGAGTTTTCCTTCTCTGAGAGGTTCCATCTTTCACAGGTTTTACTATAAACCCACAGCCACTGAGTCGACTCTGCCTCACAGCGACCCTACAGGAGAGAGTGGAACTGCCCCACTGGGTTTCCAAGGCTGTAATCTTAACAGCAGCAGACTGCCACATCTTTCTACCGTGGAGCTACCGGTGGGTTCAAACCACCGACCTTTCGGTTAGCAGCAGAGTGATTAACCAATGCACTATCAGGGCTCCATACACACACAGACACCTACATACATATATATACACACACACACACACACACACACACACACACACACATATGTATCTTTTTTTATGTTGAAAATTTATTTTTGTTTTTTAAACTCTAACTTGGAGTAGGCACAAGAAAAAGACTGAGTACTGTTAGAAAAAGCAACTTACTAAAACTAAAATACAGCATTTGTATGAGGAAGATATACTCACATTTCTAAAGAAATCATTTTTTAAATGCCCTAGCAATATTTAGGGATACACTTTACAGCTAATTCACTCTAGCGGCTGCGGTACAACTGAAAGTACACATTCAGAACAACAGCTACATAGTTTCTTTACAAAATGTACTAGTAGTAGTTGTTCTAATATTTTTCACATTAAATCTTCTCTTTTGTGTTATATGTCTAGAACTCTGGGCTCTCAAATGAGTTTTTAGAAGAAAATTACCCTTTTAAAATTACCACTTAGTATTTTTTATTGCCAGAAACTTATACTGTCAATTCAGTCACAGAATGATAAAAACTTAAGAATGGGGAGAATTCACAAAGCAATTTAAATTTAGCGTGGCCTTTCATCCAGTGCAGGATTCACCTTCACAGTATCGATGGAGAGAGTGTCATCCAGCATCTGCTTCGACATTTCAGTGTCTAGGAGCTTACCATTGTTTTAAAAGCTTAGTTCAAGGATCAATTCCTTTTTTATACCTGAAAACTAAAGTTCCCATTTTACACACACAGATCTTTTTCCATCTTGGCAAACACCATCTATAGTTTTTCATGTATAACTTTTACATTCATTTATAATTTAAACCCCCAACTGCTACTGATAAAGACTTACAATAAAATATTTACCTTTAACTTTGTATAAAACTATAAAATTTTTAAAAATCAATATATGTAGAAGAAAATATACCAGTTGCCTAAGCCAGCTAAACAGTATTATTGTGATTGAGCATTAAATGTAGTCCTGAACTTCCTAGATGCCAAGGCCAAAAGAGACACTAATAATAGCTGACTATCTGATTTAAATTTTTTTTTTTTTTCCCAAAGACTTGTTAGTTCTTTAAAAAGGAGAAACTTTCCCGATAGTGTAAAGAATTATGTCCTTATATAGGGGACACTGATCACATAATAGATAGGATAATTTAACAATGTACAGAAACATTCTTCATGAGTACATTCCCACTTTCCCCACAGGTATGTGCCAAGGGCAAATTAGTAAATCATAAAACAATGATGTACTTGCTGTAAGAAAGCTAACAAGGACCTTGCATGTGGTTTTCTGATATTCTAACTTATAAAAAGATGAACTTAAACTACCAAGACAAATAAATTAATAGTGTGTCCCTTAGAATAGTTTCTTAAAATGCAGATTCTGTTTCAATAGGCCTGGGATGGGACCCAAGATTCTGCATTTCTAACAAGCTCCTACCAATGTGGATCACACTCTTAATTAGCAAGGCAGGAGAACAGGCTATATAGTCTGAATTTTAATCATCTCTGCTGGGCCCCTAAAGTAACTTAGAAGCTTAAACCTTGTGTTTGTGGTATCTCCCATATGATGTTATCTCCATAAGGTGCAGGGTCAACTACCAAGACAATTTTTAGGCCTTTAATAGTAGCTGGATAGCCATAGGTTTGACGTTACTGTCTCTGACTGAAGACCTGAAATTTTACATCTATAATGATAATGCACACATCACATCAAATGGATTTTTATGGTACAGAGATATAAAACTTGCACAAATATTTTTTTTTTACTCAGGGATCAAAACATTAAATAAATCCTTAAATTATGCTGACGGGTTGTTGCACAATGGGAAAAATGAAAACTAAGATTTACTGAAGACTATTATACTACGTAATCTGTTTCTTCATAAATGTGATATCATTAAATCCTAACAATCCTGGAAAATAGTTATTATCAACCCCATTCTTATATATAGGAAAATGGAGGCTCAGGAGTGTCTGTTCAAAGAGCACATAGATTGTTGGCGGTAAAAGTGAAAATTCAGACCCATTCACATGAATGAATACTACCTCACCATAAAACTTAGAAGACTATTTACTGTCAAGGGAAAAT